AGCAAATATTAGTTAATCCATCATCAACGCAAGTATAAAGCGACGGCATTACAAGTGTCACAGTAGTTAACAATATCAGCATCTACTGTATGATTTTCCTTCAGCGCACAAGAACAAGTTTCAGAGTCCAAAAACAGGAGCTTCAATTGCATCCATTCTTTATTTTCTACTTGCCAGCAGCCGGATCAGGATTTTGTCATTTCATTTAAATATTAAGGCAATTAACAAAAAACACCAACAAACTTTGATGTTACTACTGCAAATATGTTCACGTATCATTCAAAATTTCGTTTATATTTCATTTGTATAAGTTATTCAATTAATATCAACTATTTAACTCAAACGAACTTTTCGTTATACGGAGTGATACAAGAATTACAAACACGCGGGCAGCATTCGAAAACACCGGCGGGCCGTTAATTGTTAACCCCTGAGCTAAAGTACCCAGAAACGACAAAGTTCTAACAACACTCCAGATATGTCAACGGATTAAATCTGTTCACTTTTTACTTCCAGACATCTTTCGTGAATACTGCTGATGGCTGCAATTTGATAATCGCTGTTTACGCTATCATATTTAAAGTTTTGCGCGTCAGCTAACATCTACACTAAACAAGCTCCTCTACTCATCTCGTTACGTTTCGCATTAACCCTGCTTCTCATGTTATAGTGCACCTCCAGGTATTTCAGGCTAAATTAATGCCTGTTATCTATAAGGTATTCTTGAGTGCTGGAAACAGTATCAAGTAGCAGAGGGAATCTGATGCTAGCAATATTACGAGGCGTAGTTCCTGGAGCTAAGGATTCAAGAAAATCGAGACACATTTATCTTACATGATAAACACTTCACATTTTGTGCAGGCCTGATATCAAAAGACGATTTGGTACCATCGTGAAGCTACCTAACGAATAGGAGGTAGAAATTTCTGGATAGGCAAATGCAATAAATTCTGATACCAGTTACCAGGATTCACGACAATAAATATGGAAAGGTGTGTTTTTCTTGGGTGCCATGGTTACCTTTATTTATCTAAAATACATAAAATAATGCATACAAAAAAATTGTTTAAACGTTAAAAAAACACTTAGTGCCAAACGCGTTTCAACCTCAAGAGATCATCATCAGTGACAAAAACATTAATTCATTAGTCTGTCTATAAAATCATACAATTATAAGGCGATGGTTTGTTTTATTGCCGAGCATAAAAAGTCACACTTTATAAAACCATACCTTTTTTACTATGATTCCTATGTCTACGTTATTTACCTTGGTTTCTACGATTAACTTGGTAAATTTAATTACTGTCGTTCCATTAGTTACCCTGCTTTCTTTAGTTCCTGCATTTGACTTGGTTACCATGGTTGTCAATGTTAATTTGGTTATATTAGCTACCACCCCCTAAATGCAGACCGACATGGCTAACCCTGCACGGCCACCCCTATATGAAGACAGACAGACCAAGCGTGGATTAACGATCATGTATTGTCACCAGAGTGCAGGTCAATCTTGTCTTCTACTTTTAGTACAAAAGCCAATGTCCGTCACGCTTCACTGGACGAATATGCCGTTCTTACGATGCGGACTAAAATTTAAAATAAGTCCTGATGACAGCGACTCTGGTAGCAAAAATATAAATAAACCTATGGTGGCGACTGTATTGGTGTCTGGAGGTGTCTGCGGTTGGCGTGAGTTTGGAGTCAAGAGGTCGGTTTTGTGTTGGTGCCGCTGGGAGAAATCTGGATTCAGTCGCCATGACGATGTTTTAACATTTAACTTATTTAAGAAAGAAATGGTATAAATTTTATACTTTCAGTGAGATTTATAACGACGATGCTGCAATAAATCGCATTACTTTCGACACTAAAACTCCCTTTCCCGTCAACTGTGACGGGCCATACTGCGCTAGTGTTATCTGTAAAATCCTTCCGTCTAGGGTTCGCCGTCTCCGTCTTTGGACTGGTTGGTAAGTTACCATAATCGACTTTTAGGGTGCACAACTGTTTCACTGTCTGGAAGCGGTTGAACTGTCTAAGGTCATTGATAACTATGAATGCAGCATCCTTTTTAATTCATATTTGTGCATCCTGGTCATTTGGTCGAAAGAGAATAGACCAAATATTTTATAATGATTGTCGAAATACTTACATACTTAAGGGTGATGCACTGTTTTTCCTTGGAGGAAATAATTACATTTTATAAAATAATTTAAATAATATTTTAACTTTAAAGGGTCAGTGCATCAAACGATCAACACCCGGTGACATACTGTTAATAATATAACACTGATCAACGGAAATATATATCTTTGTTTATAAGAACGTAACAAGATATAAGGAATTTCAGTACAATTCATTTGAAACCAAAGGACGAAGACAGGACAGTTTCGGTAACTTTCTTCTTTCTTAACGGGTAAATTTATTTATAGCAAGAAACGCCATTATTTTTGCACAGATTATTTTTAGGGAATCTTCGGCAAAGAACGTACAATTTAACACCGCTCCTGTACAGAATAGTAAAAAACATTAATTTTGGAGAATCAAACCAGAAATATTACTGGCTGTTCTGCTAATAAAATTAGGCACAAGGGTGTCCATAACTTACTAAACGGGCCGTCATAAAAATGTTAAATTTAAGAAAACTACTTGGAGAGGTACCTCCGAGAAAATTATTGATTTTTATGTTTCCAAAATGAGGCACAAAGATGTCTATAAATGTTTATGTCAGATATGTAAATTACCCAGTGGGAGAAACTATGTGAGGTCAAATAAACATTACTACTCTGGCTTAAATGAACGAAATGTATAAGCACAAGGTTAATATTTCGTATTATAATACGAAAACATATTTTTTGGACATTCTGTATCTTAAGTCCCTGACGCATGATATAGTTCTACAAGAAATGGGAAATATGCTAGCTTTGGTGGTATAAAGAAGACGCCAAATGTATAGTGAATTCAATGGCACAATAAAAGTGCAGGGAGTATAAGAAGAGTATATAAAACAGTGCAGAACGATATCGATTATAGCCTGTTACATGGACCGGAAATTTGAACTTGACAAGAAGAAATAGACTCAGAAATAAATGAGTCGATGTGTCTTTTCTGAGGTCAAGAACAGAGGTCTTTGTGCTGGACATATAAATCCCCAAGATGCTCGATTGTAATCAATATTCAATATCCGTAATTACAGGAATACTTTTTATATCACAGTATACAAGAAATCAGGAGACAAAAACTAAAACAAAAACTAAAAAATGTTTCATTGAAGGTCATTAGAACAATGGAAATTTTGTAGTGACGATGGCGAAATGTTAATTACGATTGTTCTACTAAAACCATAATAACACCGACTATTCTTCAAAAGTGTTGATCTACTAGACCTATACACCAGTTTTTAAAACACATAATTAAGCAACTCAATGTTCTGAGTCTATGCATGATTCTTTTATAATATAGATTTGGAATACCTCAAATACAATGTTCATCATTCATAATACAAACGATTCTCATACTACTAATAAACTGCCCGTCAAGAATTAAGTGACAAATCTAGAGTAATAAATAAACATAGTCAAAATTTTATCCAGTAAGTCCCTAAGTTCATTAACATAATATCCATGACAATGGTTAAACAACAACACACATATTCATAACATTCTGCGCCTTTTCGTACAATATTTAATATTTCCCCATAAGATGCAAAATCTCTTAACAGCATACCACAGCAACGGTTATAACAACACACATATTCATAAATATTATTCAATGTGGCCCGAAATCCTCTAAATAGCAAATAATCACTGATCGAACAAAAAAAAATCACTTTTACACAGATAGATGATTAAACTAACCAGTTCTTTATATCATAAACAGCTGCCCGAGTATTTAGAGATACTTTATTGGAGGTACTGTTTAACCTTGGCAAAGCTTTCCTTTAAAACGTGGTATAATGTCTGAAAACCATAAACATTTTAACTCGTGCATTTCTCGGGTTATAAGCCAAAAAAAAGCCTCTGCTCTAGATGAACACAAATGATTTATCTAAAACGAAAAATATACTTCACAATACAAATTCCTTTAAGTAACTTATATTTTCAAATGTACTGTCTAGAGCGGTGGTTACCATGAAGATTATTTTCCCGCTTTGTTTTCCTTAGACATAGTAGGAGCTTTATATTTACCTTATGCTTTTGTTCGTGTTTATTTCAAACAAGAAGGTATGGTATCATTAAACGCAGTTAAATGTTTGTTGGAAGGTAATAATTTTCAATGTTCATGCTTGTAATATGGGTCAGTATGTTGGTTTTGTTCGTGATTCAGACAGTGTGTCACTGTGCCGTATAATTTGCGGTGTAGAGTATACTTCAGCGCCTGTAATTTCTGTGCGCAAGTCAGAGGTAAGAACCAACGTCACCTGCAATGCTGAATTTATTGCAGTTAACTTCTCGTCGTTAATTAAGGAGCAGAGTAAGAAATGAAGGTGTGAAAACTTGTACAGACTCAGTCCTGATTTATGTGCTATAACCCCTGTGTCACCTTACAAAAAGTGTTCCTTGTCGTAAGGGATAAAGCTTCTTTGTATAAAGATTAGCTAACTAAGTCACTGAGGGATGGCAGAAAACATCAGTTGCTCTATGTTAGATGAAACAGTGGTCTGTTCCTAGGAATAATCCCTGAAATTAGCAGCGTAAGGTCACCATTATTTCTGAGGTCAAGTTAATTATTTTGTTCTGACAGGTCATGCATTACTTAATAACTCTATGTATTTATTTTCATATTATTGCCGCTGCATCAGTTTTATTTGATTACATATGTGTATTTTTAAGCTATGTAGGGTACCCTAATGTTATAAGGCACGGCAGGAAATAGGCCCACTGTCGACTATTTAATTATTTGTCCTTTTTACCGCATGAATGCGCCACATGCTAAATAACTCCTTCAGTTGTTGTTGTTGTTGTCTAGTGATGCCTGCAGGACCTTCACATCTTCATTAGTGTTCAGTTGAAGTGGCCAAGAAGGAGTTCTTTACTCTTTTTCTTCCTTTGTTACGAGTACACATAACATGCAAGTAAAGATTTTTATGTTTTTGTTATGTATTCTAAAAGACCGATTACAGTGTAAAATATTCTTACAGAATCAAGAACAAGTTTTGAAAATTTCGTTTTTGTTATGCACTGTTACTGTAATTTAAACAGAATTACTGCTTTTTGGGCCTTATTGTGTGCCAGTTCAGTTATTGTGGCCCAATTGAACGCCTGCAATTACAGATTTCAGATCAATAATTATTAATTGCATTTTTGTATTTGAGATTATTTCTGAAATAACGTACATTTTTCATAAATACGTATTTCTATGTAGACTATATTTCATGGGTATGTAAACTCTTCTTTTACATAGACCTTAATACTCGAGGGTAACTTTTGTTTAAAAGTTAAATGTATATATTAGCAAGCTCAGCAGTAACTAATAACGGATTTACATTCTGAAAATTACATTCCTAGTTAATATCTTACGTCTCTCTACCTCAGCGAATAAAACAGTTAGAATTTAAGATAATTACCGCATAATTTAGGCTTAATTACCACATTTAGTTCGTACACCGATTCGAGACTCACTTCTATACCGACTAACTTGCCTTACTGCACAGATCTGCTCCACCACGATCTCCCATAATCCTTTGTGCGAAGGAATTTTGTTACAAATTTGTGACTTCACTTCGTGAGCTGTTTCAGTCATACCTACAATACTGCAGACCCTGACTTCCCAAGTTGCGATTGTTAAAGTTACACTGAACATAAATTAGTTCCGCGTGAAACAGTTAACGTAAGTCTCCCCTTTGTGTTCGTTGTCACGTGAATACCCATGGCGACATGGAATGCCTGGTATTACGTGACGTAATCATTACACAAATACAAATACGACGACAGAATGATGTAAAGAAATCATGAAAAGAGAAATACTGTTTAAGAAATTTGCCTGTATGCTCATTCTTACACACCGATTAACGTTCGTAAGTACTTCAAAGACCGAATGAATGGATACAAGAGATACGAACAATTACAAATTACAATGAATTTACGAAAACCAGTAAGAGTTGCAATGGAGGGGTAAATATTTTTAAACTATGCTTCCTTATAATGTATAATATTTTAAATTGTTTCCAAAATGTATTTAGAAAGCACACACTTGGTGATAAATGGACTTCACAGCGTACTTAAAATTTAAAACAACAATGTCGTTTCTTCATTCCCATTTTGCTTAGCGATATTCGACGTTTTGTCATGTACGAAAAATAAAAAGAAGGCAAGAGGAAATTATGCGAAAACAAAGGATAAGAATGAAAAAAATAAAAGGAGACATGTAATCCCGTCTGCAGCTCACACATTCTGCTGGTGGTACTGAGTTTATGACCAGTTAATTCCTTACTATTTTGGTCTATGTGCCAAATTTTCTTCGCATTCTATCGTTGCCCGCCAGTTCCTTAATTTTTCACCCTTTTCAGCTAATACATCTGCCTGGCACGATCTTTAAACCCTCGTACGTTTGCATAGTGTCATTAAGTCATTAGGCACCAGGGACAATTTTACCTTTCGATTTCATCATGAGTTACAATTATTTTTATTGTTTAAAAATATGAAAAAGTTTAAGTAATTGCAACATATGCATTGCTTGTACTCTTTTTATGGTGCATAATCCAGGCCTACCCTGTTGGCAAAGCACCTTAAGTCCATATGAACTACGTAAAGGAACATAACTTATAACAACAAAATGATTATGGTTAAACTCTTATCCGGGTTCCATCAGACACGAAAAGAGTGGATGCATGTATCGCTCAACGCGGTGGAATTTTTAACATTTAAGATAACATTCGTTTTCGTTTTCAATTTTTTTATACAAACGAACAAGTGTTAGGAATGTGTTAAGTGATTTTTCGATTATCCTGTGCAAGGATATAACATAAATTATTTTTGTCATATCAAATTTCGGGGTCGAACCACTTCATATAACGGTATCCGTGATATTGAATCTGTTTTCCCACTTTACTGATATCGATGACAATTTGTCCAAGTACAATGTCCTGTAGGTGCATAGAGAGAACATAGGTAAAATCCATGTTTTCAAGACTTCGGCAATGCATGCAGGGGAATGGTCAGCTTCTTGCAAAGGCCACTAAAATGAAGCAATGGTAGGAATAAGACTCTTCTAAGTGTCGTACAGCCGACCTGGCCGCGGTGGCGATGCGAAAGGTACTGCGCCTACCACGAACTGAACCACAGTCAAACAGCGCATAGTAAATTCATTTCACTGGTACTCAGCTAGTAATGTCGTAGCCAACGGTCTTAGAATACATCCCGAACGCTTCCTGCCCTTGGAAAGCTTCAGCCTCATTCGAGGTACACTAACTCATTTCCTCATGTTTGGTGTTCAACCGCGGCTTCCCTGTCTTTCTGCTTTATAAAACAGCCTCTATGCTGGTGCTGTTAATAGCCAACGGTGCAGCTTCTGGTTCCAGGCTACAGACAAAATTAATTGGCTTTGTGAACGAAACTCGCTAGCCAACCCGGAGAGAGTGTTTGTGTGTGTGTGTGTGGGGGGGGGGGGGGTGAAATAAATGGCACTGCCTCAGGTAGTGAGCTTGATTTATAATGTGGTAATACCTGAAGCCTCCTTCTGACGTGTCCATTCCACAAGTAGGAAGTGTCATCTTTAATATGTATTGGCCAGCTTCTTATTTATAACGAAATATATAAGCTTACGATATCTTCATATCCGAGTTTCCGTCTCGTTAACATCTTTTAAACAAATTTACTGACTTTCAATACACTCTGAATGAACACGTCACTGTAGAGCAGGGGTTGGCAATCTGCGGACCGAGGGTTGGAAATGGCTTCGAAATCTTTTTTTATGCTGTACGTCACATGATGTAGGAATTGGCCAATGCAGGAAATGCAAACATTTCCCGCTGCTGAGGAGAACACTGGTATATATACATACATTATCTAAGCGTAAGGGCAAACAGTCACAAAAAGAAAAATTGTTTACATGTCTGTGTACCTATAACGTTAAATTCGCGTTATTGTTTTGATGTGGTATTAATAACTCAGTCATAAAACTGTGACTGTAAATCAAAACTGTTTAAAAGCTAATAAACAACCTTTTTGCAGAAACTTGGTTGGACGGAGAAACACAGCTATTATCCGTTTTCAAGTGAATACCGGCTGTTTTATTTAAAATGGAATGCCATGATCGCTTCCTTCTAATGGACCATTCACACGTACGACGTTACATAAGGTAGTCTCTTAGAATGGGGTATGTCCAGAAGTGACCACGTTCATACTTGTAGTAAGGTCTGGTTGGAAACAGCCAGACGGCCTTTACTGGTATTATAAGACGAAGTATACACATCGTAAAAAGTAAACGTTTGATAAATAAGTAAAACTGAAATACAGGTGTAATAATTAGCTATATTAAGTTGTGAGATGGTCTATGTCAGGGGCTGGCCAACTTCTCACTATCGGATTGCATGTGCAATTCATATCTTTGTCGAGCTCCTCAAAATAATAATGTCGTCGAACTAGGTAGAACGGCGTTTCTTTAGCTTAAACACCCCACATCTTTCTACAACGGTACACTACAAGACACAGCTGAAGTAATGCAGTAATACTACACAAGTACAGACTACATTTAAATTCACCAGGATTCACCAAGCCGTGTCAGCAGTTTTGATAAGTTTTAATTAGTTCTAAAGTTAATGACATCTTAACAACATTCAAGTCACTAATCTTATATATTTTACGTTCTTACTTCAGACAAAATGAGAATTTACAACTCTGTATAATGAGCACTAACTTACATTCGAACCTGATGATGACCATACTAGGCTGAAACACGTCGTTCAACAAAAATAAACTAATGAACAGTGACTGAGAATTATCATCAAGAATCAACAGAGCACGCCGCGGGACTACATTGCAGGACCCTGATCAAATTTCAGGTGATATACCGAATTTTCCCGAAGACAGTGAGGAAAACCACGAAAAGATATGTCAATCTAACTGGATCTCGCGACGAGGCTTGAACCCGGGATTTCCCGAATACGAAGCATAGTTGTAACCATTATAGACATTTTAATCTTGTATTTATGAGGTTATGTGTATGACTGATTCTGTACAGAATAACGGCGTCCATACTTTGTCAAACGATGATCATGATGGATATAAAAGGACTTTCAAAACAAAATGCGATAACATTAGTAAAATCTCTCCAACCACGTGGCATTGTGTTTTGTACATACGAGGTGTCTGAAGCGCATTTGGCTCAATTTCAAAAATGCGTCTCCGTTGTTTGAAAACTTCATGAATGTTATTTATTTACATACACACAGAGAGAACGGTTAGTTAACTTGGGTCCACCAGAGAGAGGCTGACAGCGCACGGCAGCTACAATCATGCAAACGACACTATCAAATCTTCATATTTCAGTCGTGCGTAGAAAGATTACTCTCACATTCCTGCAGAAGTACAGTCGCATGTGACAAACATAGACTACTATGCTTTTTCCGGAGCATTCTTCTGTCAGATACGCTTTTACAGATAGATTCCTGCTTTTCAACGTTGTCAGAAAAATAAATTAAAGAGCAGGAATTTAAATGTTTTCCTTCAGACCCTCGATATGATTGCAGTTTGCTTTCTTCTGTACATAGGCCGTAACTAACTTCGTCGTTAAGTAGTTAAAACCACTGCTCGCATTCACATTGTCCCTGGTTTGATTCTACACTCTGATATATTTTCTAACTCAGGTGCTTCATGCTTTAATTATTCTTTTAATATGTCGGAATATAAAATAATGATGCCCTCTGTGAGTTGACAGGGCTTCCGCTGAAAGCTCCCTACCCTGTTTCGCGTGAATTAACAGTGCAGGAAGGACATAGATGAAATTATTTTATGTGACGACAGTTCTCATACATGCACAAGGAGATGAAACTTGGGTTAACAACATAAATAGTACCGGCGGTAATCTCAATCACAGGAAATTAATTTTTTAAAAAGTGCTAATAAATTTATGTTTTATGGCTTCCTTACATTCAAATGCCAGCTTAATTGGTTTAATGTAAATTCTTACATCTCCAAAACAATAACCTTCTTCAAGTAATTTGTGATAATTCATCCACAACAGGTACTCGTGAGTGTGATTCATGAACCTCGTTTATCAAAACGGGTAGCCCTTATAGCCCCTTACATTCTAAACACTGTTGGAAATCTTGCAAAATTTTAGCCGGAAAACGAGAAGGCAGAAGACATCTTGAGACACCTAATATAGATAGCAGGATAACTCTAAAATCCTTTAAAAAAAAAAAAAAACTCTAAAAATAATAGGGTGTGATGGAGTGGACTCGATTCATATGGCTTGGGATATGGTCAAGTTGTCTTATTTTGAACAGACTAATGAACCTTCAGGTACCATAAATGAGTCAATTGTTTCATTGCGCGTATAATTATTTAGACTTTCCAATCAGTTAAATAACCCGAATTCTTAGTGATATGTCTGCTGACGGTAAGTACAGGTATTTGAATTCCATCCTGTGGCAGTGCCTAGTGATTTCGTCTACATAAATCTGTGTCATAAAGCTTTAAAGTGTATGCGACTTCAGCGTAGGTAGATGATCCGGAATTTACCGTAGGCAAAGGCGGGCTTTCGTTATAACGACGATTAAACTTCGACTTACACAGAATCTTACGACGAGCTGCTGTGAGTTCTTTTGCACAAGACTGCTTTCCTCCAAATGTTACGTGCAGGGCCTGTGCTAACAGTACAAGGAATTTCAGTGAGAATGGATTCGATGGAAGGCGTAAGAAAAATTCACACGTAAAGAAGTGAAAAGTTTCTATTGTATGCTTTAATGGCACCATTTGTTTGCAGTATAAAAACGAGGTATCGCTTTTAAGTACATTTTGCAATATGTAATGTTCCTCTTGTAGTCTGAAGACGGGCAGGTGGTTAGAAAACTGACAGTTTCTTTGTCAACACCAGTAATTAGCTTTCGCCACAATTAAATTACAACATTCATATAATTAATCGAAAGACTTAAAAAACAGTAGCTCGTGTAAATATGAGCTTATCAAGAGGTACAGCAAAGAAGATATCATTGCACTTTGGAGATATGAGACTCTTGACTTTAGACTCTCAAATTCTAGGATAACAAATTCAAATTTATAGTTATTTTCAGATTATTTTATTAATATTTATGGTATTTTACGATGGAGGTTTACTAAGCAACATAAATCGGATACCATTTATCAAAGCAAGTGTTTAGGTTCTAACGGCGGCGTATAAGCAGGTGACAGTCGTCTGAAATTTTGCGCTGTGTTCTGATTATGTTGGCAGTAAGAACCATCGAATTGTCAGTAAGCCTCCTCTATGGCGCTACCAGTTAATTTGCAAAATTTTTGAAAGCCAATGTCCCATATTTTATCAGTTTATATTGTAGCGCATAATGAATACAGTGTACATTAAATCTAGCAGTACATTTGTTGTGCAATATTTAATAATAACGCCCTTTATATATTTTTATTTTCTCACTAGTAGCATAAAGAAAGAATTAAAAGTAAATAAAACAAGAGACATCCAGAGCTTTACAAAACAATTTTAAGGTTTCAACAACTCCTACTTACTAGTGTGTTCAGTGTACCTATAGCTGGGTGTGAGGAAGCAGACAGGGGACCACTCCAGGTTCAGTTTAATGCACTTCTTAACGCCTCTGAGAAAACATACTGTAGATTGTGGTATCGTGTTAGAATTGTGTCTTTTCCTTGTTAAGCTTCTACTGATTAGACACTCGGACATGCTGCAATTCAAAATTAAGCCTACTGTAAAGTCTTTAAGA